ATAACAAATGTGACCTTTTTAGGAATGTTTTTCCTACCACCATGTTTTTTTTTATCGTATTCATAGGCTTAGAATTTAACTTATAAGTGTCCATGAGAGAGGAGTGCTCGCCGTGTAAATGCGCCATCTTGAAAACCGGTGGTGGATAAGGACAAAAAGGATGCGAGAAACGCGTTTTCGTTTCACATGAGCCACTGATATCGTTGCTTTCACCGTGCCTTCAAAAGTTGGAAGAAGGAACCATGGAGGACCACAGTTATATAAAAGAACAATCGGAACAACAATCTTTTAGAAAAATAAATATGCAGAAGTCCAGCGTCATAGCAGCAAAGTGTCAACTTTCACCGAAAGACACAACAGGAGGCACATCGTGTAGTTTGTACACAACAAACTCACACGTGAACAATATGTAACTTTTTCACACTAACAATAATGAGAACGAGGCAGAATCTGCAACACAGTCTGAGGATGTTCTGACCCGATCCGAGCGCAGTCCAAACTGTCACAAGTTTCAACTAAACTTATTCAGGGACAAGCATCAAATAAAACAAACAGAATCCCCACAAAACCATCACAGAATACTTTATCAGCAGCGTGAGTAAATGTTATATTTTTCTTACCGTGATGCAGATATGGCGCTGTGGCTAACGCTAATGCTAACATGAGCTTTGCGATGTCCTGCCGCGGCTGTGTATATCTCCTGCTTCTTTGATCACCGTAGTTTTAACCTTACACAGACGTTATTCCTCCATGTGTCTCGTCTCTTTTCACACAGAGTTTGTAAAACTATATATTATAATAGATCCATGGTAAAACTCAGTAGAGCCTCTGTGCAGCGGGTGCTGCGTCTGAACGCGGTCTTGTTTACATGTCGCCTCCACAGAATTGTGTCAAGTGCCCGAGACGTTTGGAGAGATCCGGTCATTTATCAAACTAAAGATTTCTTTCCTTGGCAGTCTGGTGAAAGACTGAGAGTTGAGGAGTACTGTCAAACAGTATAGGCAAAAGTCTCCTTAACTCTACAGGCACGCTTACTCGCATCTCAATATATGAGACTGCAATATAAGATCTCAATGCTAGAGGCACTAGAAATTGCACAGTGTACTTTTAAAGTGCTTCGCTCAAAGACAGCTGCTTATGCTATGAGGGTCTGGTTATAGCTGCGGATCATATGAGACCTGCTGCTGCTGTCTGCTTTCAAACTGGGATGGTATTGATATTGAGGATATATTATTAACTATAAAATTATAGTTAAAAACACTGACAAAAGTGCCAAAGTGCTGTATTCTGGCCAAGCTGTTCTGGGGCTTCAGAGGGATGAAGACCAACCATCTGAACACTGAACAATTGTAAAGCGCTTTGGGTAACCTTGATCTGTAAAAAGCGCTATATAAATAAACATTACTTACTTACTTACCAAGGACCTGTTTCTAGTGATCGACAATCCAAAACAAAAAATCTATAGTTTTGATTGCAGTAGGTTGAAAACGGGATACAAAAGGGTTTCAAAGTCTATATATATATTTATTTATGTACCTTCAGTTAACCAGGAATGTCCCACTTCAGAATGTTTCAAACGTTCCAAATGTATATAAATCTTATATCTTATATTTTCCCTCCTTTTCGGGAATCAGCCGTATTCCTGACCATACATACCATTGCTCTTGGGATCGAGCAAGAAGTGGAATCTGATGGGTTTTTATATGGCAATATGCACATGTTTCTTTCACTATCCACTTAAGCCTATTCTCTTTTAGTCAGACGTGGTCATTTATTTTGTTTTATTAGCGTAAACGTACAGAGACAAGGGCTGAAGTCCAGCGATGCACTGAAAGCTAATGCTCAATGTTTAAATCTCATTACATCACCACTATGGTCCCTCTGCATTAAACAGGTGCTGCTCTGTTCTGAGAACACGGCTTGTACATTTAAATCCATACAGAGACATTATCCATTCAACACTGGGCTTAAACATTGATGCTGCCGGCTGTAAGTTACAGCTGCATATTAATAAGTTCAATAGTCAGAGAATCAAATGTTGTGGCCCTCGTCGAGTCTAAAAATAGTGGTGCTGCTTTCTGAACACTAACCACACATACTTGTTTTACTTTTTTCAGTTGAGGCTTAGTGTCTTTTAGAGTTCTTTGAAATAATAGGCCTGATGCGATGGATGCTGAGATACAGGGCATTTTCATTTCAATATACAATATATTTCCAAGCTTTTTGATACAATTCAGTAAAAAATAATGGCTTTTTCCCGAGCCTCCGCTTCATCTGAACAAAAAATACACATTCTGTGCATATATATTGCTTGATGCGAAACCTTCTCAGCTGTTGGTCGCTTACAAAATATTTACATATCCAAAAAGGAATATCAATAATATATTATCCCAATCTTATCACTAATTAAAAATAACATAATTCTATCCATAAAATATATATTAGATAGTTTTGCACATATCTAGTTAACCGATGAGGGGAGGTAGAATAAATTAGAATATATTTACAGATTTTCTGATGACACTTGGTTTTCAAACATGAATTATATGGAAAAGAAACTGCAGCCTTTTCCAATATAGTCTGGGGTCCCTTGAATAATTTACAGGTTTACAGTTAAGGGGACATTGAATAATATTTGATAATATATATATAATATCAGTTTTAATAAATAATATGAAATGAAGTTTAAGATAAATAATAAAGTATTAAGTTTCTCACAGATGAATCACAAAGCATTTTACAATTGTATGCGTTATTCATTCACTCCACACCAAGGTGGTTTGTATACCATATAAACAGGGATGCACATAACTTTTTCAGTGAGGTACTCTGATGAATACCAGGAGATGTTGTTTGGTACTCACTCCATTTGTCGCATGGCTCTTAATTGAGATTTTAGACTTGCTTCTTTTTAATGCTGAAGTTTAGATCAGCTCAGATAAACCACTCAATCAAAGTCAAATAATGACTCACAGGGCTCTTTCTTAAAAATGCAACACAAAACAAAAAATCAATGTTCTGTTTGATAAAACAGGCGAGCTCCAGAGTCCAGTGCTTTTAGGTGGGTTTATTTTCTACACTCCCAAAAAAATGGTGTAGAGCGTATTTACAACAAACAAACAAGTTCACACTGACACATATGTCACCTTTAAGTTTCTAGTTACCTCCTCTGTAACCAGCGGCAGACACACTGCTCCTGGCCCCTCCTATTGAGGAAATTATTTTGGTAGAAATTACATTTCATTACATCATTATACTCTCAAAACATGGACATTTAATCGCGCACATCTCATGGGAAAGATTCCCATTTAACCCACCAGGAAATGGTGTCCTGGTTCGATCCTCGCGCACAGACCCAGAGGAGCGCGACAAACCGGTGTGTACATGTTTGCTTGAATGTATTTCTAACCCGCACAAGTGTGCACCTTTGGCGAACTAGTAACTGAGGAGAGACGGACGAGAGAATGGGATGCGTGTGGATGTTACGTATGAATGGAACGGGGGAAAAGGTGCGCAAGGGTGGAACGGTGTGTGTGTGTGTGGCGCTTGCGGCATGAAAGTCAGCCTTCAGTATAAAACTATATTTGCGCACATAGCTAGAGACGGACCGCTCCATCACACTTGCATTGCACCATGCCTGGACCGGTCTATGTGAAATACGCAAAGGCGCTTACTAACTCAAGTGATAGTACGCATTTCTGATATTTGTCGCGCATACGTACCTGCGTACCACTTTTGTGCACCCCTGCATATAAATAAAGATTACTTACTTACATACCGACAAAAGCCTCGAACCCTCACACTCATTATTACATTAAAACCAATTTATAACCCACTGTGGAGCAAGATGGGATATGTCAAGTTCAAAAGCTGGCTGTTCAATTCAAATGAGCTAGTTCATCTCAGTGCTGTTGGATTTTGTCAAAGCTGTTTTGGGGGTCACATTGTCGCGTGCAGTGTACTGGTCAGTCATATGTTTCCTCTTACCTTTCATCTCAGTCTGTACTCTTGTCTCCGATCACTGGTTATTTGTGGCTTGTGTCAGTGGGAGGTTTGAGAAGTGACTCACACCTTATGTACAGGGATGTTATTACCTCCTGAGCAGTTGGACTGCACTCTGTCTGCCTCGCTACCTCAAAGAACTACTGTACATACAAACCAATAATGCTACTTTAATTACACTTTTTGGACTTACATTTTCCGACAATTGCAAATAGATTTGAGATGTTATTTTCTAAATGCAGTGGTTTGCAAAAGTTGTAATACTTGCACCCAAACAAATATATTGGCGATGTGACAGCAAAATGAGACATGTTCTGTGTTTGCCTCAAAGCTAAGTATTGTTCACTACAACTACACAATAGCATCATGAAGTCCAAGGAGCTCACCAGAGAGGTCAGGGGTGAATTTGTGGAGTGTCTAAAAGAATGGGAAGGTTTTACAGAGATTTCCCTAGCTTTGAATATCTCACAGAGCAGTGTTCAGTCCAGTATTCAGAAATGGGAAGATTATGGCAGCTAACATGTGTCAAATGAGACTAAAATGTACTCTAACTTTTGCAAAATGTTATGTATGGTGCAAGTTTAATCCTGCCCCTCAGTACAGCAGTGTCAGATATTGTGGGGGGAGCATTCCGTTGTGCACCCGAAGAGAAGGGAAAGATTGTATGATGACAAGATGGATGTAGTTTTTTAAATCAAATTTGTATCATTTTGTATTTTTATTCACCATACTATGAAAGTTGTCTATACCCAACTAAATATTTTTGTTTGTGTTTATCAACACCGCAAAATGTGGATTATTAGATAAGAGTAGCGAATTGTTTTTGTATTGATTAATCCAAAGGTCGAGTGGTACTATGAGCAATGGGTGGCAGCTCTCATTGTCATGCCCAGACCCAGAAATGGACGAATAAAGGGGCAGAAAATGAATGACCGAAGGATCCAAAATTTAAAGTCATTATTACTCTTTGTTTATGTCAATATTCCTCTGTGTTTCAGACCAGAGCCTCCTGGCCGCGGAGGGGGAGGGGGAGGAGGAGGTGGAGGTGGATCTCAGGGGCCGACAGACTCTCCTCTGCCTGAACAGGACGAGGAAATCCTGGGATCAGACGACGACGAACAGGAGGATCCCAATGACTACTGCCGAGGTAACGCACATTGGTTTGGACATTGTGTGTTCATTTGGTGGATTCTTCAACCAAACGCAAATAAAACTAAAATGAATAAGTTTATGATCAAGGAAAAGACTGGATTATGGGTCCCAAAATAAGTCATTATGCCATCTCATAATATTATTCCCTCATCAAAAACAGAGCTCCATCCACGTTAATATCAGGAACTGGCACAAATGCGTCGCCCCAGCCCTTCTGTGTAAAAGCTCTCTTCAAACTCGTTACTCAATGACAAATCCTCAGAAAACATCTTTGTCCATGATGTCATAGTCTGTCATTTTAAACAAAAGGAATTCCTCCAAATTAGTTTCAAGAGTCCTATTGTGTTATTGACAAATGCATGCTTTAAAGGTCCTATATTACACTTTTCTTCATGTTTCACAGTCAGTCCTATGCACATGTGTGATAATAATTTGAGTGATACACCATACAACACTCAAAACTTGTGAGATTATAGCCATCTCTTGTATAGATGTGATGTCACCTCAACTCAAACAGGCTGATTCAGAGAGGAGTCTGTGAGCACACCTGCCCCCTCACGCACGGTGACGTAGCATCACCGCATCACGAGTTGTTTATCACCGGTACTTGGGAATTTCAGACATAGGATTAAACTTTTTCTAAGCATGACAATCCGTCAGATCAAGCCCTATGTCTTCGATGCACAATCAGACCCTAATTATTTAGTTTACAGAAGTATACGGCAAGTTAGCATCACTGTACTTACAGATCGGGGGGTCCGTGTTAGCATCACTGTACTTACAGATCGGGGGGTCCGTGTTAGCATCACTGTACTTACAGATCGGGGGGTCCGTGTTAGCATCACTGTACTTACAGATCGGGGGGTCCGTGTTAGCGTCTTTTATCGTGGGAATAACATTGGTTTCCAGATCATCTTTTGAGTAAGTCCAGTTCCATTGTCCATGTAGTTCTGGAACAGTCTCAGTGAAGTGTCGCAGATGAACCGTTATTATAGGGCTGGGCGATATGGCAAAAAAGTAAAATCTCGATTTTTACCTCTGGCTTTGGAAGATTTAGATTTTTAATCGACTTTCATTAAAGTCACCAAAGAGAGACTTTTCCCTTTAAAAATATGTTTTGATCTTTCCGCTCGATATTCAAGTTTCAAAACTATTTTTCATTTGTTTCCCCCAATACGTATTATAAAAGTCTTTAGTATTGCTAGTATAATTCTTGTGCTGCTGGAACTCTCACAATATCCTTCATTCGATTTCACATTTTTCACATTCAATTTTTTTCAAAAGCCGATTAATTGCCTAAATTCGATTTATTGCCCAGCCCTACATTATTATAATAGATCCATGACATGAACAGATGAAAAAAGTCGAGCCGCTTTCTTCCTCTTCGGGCCAAATAGTGCGTCACATATTTTCACCCAAAACGCATTTTATCCAAGTTGTAACACAGCTGCTGACAAAAGCAGAAAACCACAGACCAGACCACAGACATACGCTGGACTTGGGAACTAGCTGTCAATCACCTCCCGGCTTTTACTATTATTTTGATTTTTATTACTTTTGACAACAAACGGCATACCTATTGTGTATTGTTTACCCCGTTTTGATAAAAGTATTTAAAAAACATTTTAAATACAAAGCAAACGGGGTTATGCGCGTCATATTTGTCATTAGTGTGGTTATCGTCACAGATGTGAACCCGAGCGTTTCACTGCCTCTGAAGGGGGAAGGAGACAGATCGCTGTCTAACTAAAGCCTGACAGAATCAATGAAAAACTACTTTGGGCGTGTATGAGGCCAAATAGCACTATAATCATGTTTAAAGCAGAGAAAAGTCAAAAAGCGTAATATGGGCCCTTTAAATGAAAAGGCACCAGTTTTCCCACTCATCCAGATCAGCTTTTATTCCGTAAAAAGTATATTTAAGCTGGGCTATCTTAAATATCAAACCTAAAAAAAATATCAGCTTTTTCAGACAGAGAAGTGAAAAAGAGAGGACCACCCTCGCTCAATCAGCTCTCAGCCCAAAGCAAGCAAACAGTGACTGACAGGGCTCTTTGTCACAAGCAAAATGTTTCTAATAAGATGAAGACGGCATGGTGTCGTCTGATCGTACTTTCACAAGACTGAAACGGAAGTTGGGACAAACATGTCTCACTTAGGCATTAAAAGTTAGCATTAGATCTTTTATTCTAGGCCAAAAATGGTCATGAAGCATTAGCCTGTTTTGTTTACCAGGTGGGTATCACAATGTGAAGATTGGGGACTTGTACAATCAGAAATACCACGTGATCCGAAAACTGGGATGGGGCCATTTCTCGACGGTGTGGTTGGCTTGGGACGTCCAGTAAGTGTGGCATAATGTCATATATGTACCCAAAATGATTGCTTTTAAAAGTAGTTTGGCTTCTGCTCTGTGATGACGTGATGTTTTTCTCACAGGGAGAAGAGATTCGTTGCCATGAAGGTGGTGAAAAGTGCAGAGCATTACACTGAAACCGCCATGGACGAGATAAAGCTGCTCAAATCGGTACATGTTGTCATTTCAAATTCAGCCGTGACCTATCAGCTTTTTCTAATTTTCTGAGTTTGACTTGTTTAGGTGCGAAACACAGATCCCAACGACCCAAACAGAGAGCGGGTGGTGCAGCTCCTGGACGACTTCAAGATCTCTGGAGTCAATGGCACTCGTATCCTTCTCAGACTCGGTCATATGAACTAAAGAATTTGAAATTAATAACTTCTCCCAAGATTCTGCAGTGTCTCTTTGTGAGCGGGACACGTAATATATTTTGGCCCCAAATGTGTAGTTGTTGTTTCATACAGCATAACATAAAACAGACAAGATACAGATGTACAATTTGAAAAAAAAAACTGTTTGCAAAGGGGACGAAGAAAATGCTTCATGGGCTCCAACCCCACGCACACTCACACGATTATATATTGAATGTGGACAATAAACTTTCTGTAGTCCATTATAATGTGATTCCCTGTGATTTCCCTGTTGTGAAAAGCTCACATGGCTCTAGGCAAGATGTATACGTTGTGTTTGTCGAGTAGATATGTAGTGTGTTGTACCATTGGTTTGTTCTCCTTCACTGATGCTCCTCAGACGTGTGCATGGTGTTTGAGGTGCTGGGATATCACCTCCTCAAATGGATCATCAAGTCCAACTATCAGGGCCTCCCACTGCCCTGTGTCAAGAGCATCATCAAACAGGTCAGACCACACTCCTGCGTTCACACAAAGTTCACGTTTCATTACTTTGTAATTCTACTATTGACATCATGAGTGGATTTAATGATTTAATGACTGGAAGTGTACGTTGATAATTTTGTAGCCTGTCTAGTTGTGTTTGTCATATAGCCAATCAGGGCTCTTAAACTTCACTACTACTTCTGTTCTGCTACTACTACTTCTACTACTTCTACTACTACTGCTACTACTGCTACTACTGCTGCTACTAATGCTACTCAACCATTTCTATAAATCATTTACAAATTGTTTCTTAGCTAGAGGAGTTTTCCTTTTGAATGTGCCGGTAAAACTTGGAGGTTTTGATTTTTTTTTTTTTTTTTTCATTTATTTCTGTAATTCAACTTACAATGTGAAACTAATTGGGCTAAAGCTAAGCAGGACAGGGCCTGGTTAGTGCTGTGATGGGAGACTCCTGGGAACACCAGGCAGCTGTTAAGTGCCAAACCGTCATTGTGTCCTTAGAGCGAGTTGGAGCTAAACCTTGTTCATGAGCACTTCCCTATTGGGACGTCTCTAAAGAGTCTTAAGAACCTAAGCTTCCCACAACATGTTTGTTGTCTTTTCTTTGTGTTGCTGAAATGCTGCCCCCTCTGGTCCCTCCAGGTGCTGCAGGGCCTGGACTACCTCCACACCAGATGTAAGATCATCCACACAGACATCAAGCCGGAGAACATCCTGCTGACGGTGAACGAGGCCTACATCAGGAAGATGGCGGCTGAAGCGACTCAGTGGCAGAAGACCGGAGCAGCGCCCCCTTCTGGATCTGCAGGTCCAACGCTTCATTGCACTTTCTATTTCACAAATATTTGTATGCATTATATTTTGTGAAGTTGTCTGTCTGGCCAACGTCTTCCCTTTTCTGTTTGTGGCTTTTGAATAGAAAATAAATTCTTCCTCAATTGTCATATGATTTCGCACCAATAAAATAGAAAACATTTCACAATTAGAACATCATTTGAAGGCTACACAGGTACATTATTACGTAAGCCAAGATACTGTGTGTGTGATTTTCACAGCGCTATTTATAATGTTACTGTGATATTTTCTTCTGATATCACCCAGCCCAGTGTTAATGTGTTAGAGATGATCAGACCTGGAGTTGTTTTTATCCATCCACATTAATGTCAGGAATGTCTGTCACAAACATGTAACTCCGCCCCTTCTGTCTAAAAGCCCCTGCCTCAGTCCTATAATAGTATGATGTCATTGTGCTACTTTGACATCACACTCAGCAATTTTCAGACTTATAGCAAAAATATTTTTGGCAATTTCTTTGTTCTTTAATTAATTCAGTTAATACTCTCATTATTATGTAAATAATAATCTTTAAAATAATGCTTGATATTTCGCCTTTAAAAGAAGAGCAGCTGCAATCTTTCAGTTGCACACTACAGAACTGGGTTTAAGCGTCACACTGGATTTAAGTGTCTTCAGAATATTCTAAGTGGACCGAAATGTTCTGGATGCTTTCTGTGAGTCATCAGTCGATCAGTTCGGTAAATAATTATTTTGCCACCGTCTGAAACCCGTGATTATCTCTGCCCCACGCTGACTCACCGGCTCTGAGCTAATATTAGACCAGGGACATACAACAGTGTTCAATAGACTCTGATTGAAATCTCTGTTGTCTAATGCAATTTTTGTTCTTCTTTCATACAGTGAGCACAGCCCCAGCCCCAAAAGCAGTAAGTACAGTCCTTTTGATATAATCATAATTGCATTTTTTAGAAGTTTAATACATTGCTTTTTACACCTACCATAGCTGCCATAAGATTCTCAGCTGCCCTCTGCCTCAATGTTCGACTATAGGCTCTTTGGAATGTTGTGATGTCACATGAACGCAACCTGTTTGTTTTGTTTTGCAGCAGATACAAGGCAAAATGTCCAAGAACAAGAAAAAGAAGCTGAAGAAGAAGCAGAAGAAGCAGGCGGAGCAGCAGAGGGTCCAGGGGGAGGGGGCCGCAGCGGAGGGAGAAACGGCCACAGACGGAACAGCCGCTGAAGAGCCGGCGGAGGAAGAGGAAGAGGAGGAGACCGCGGAGGACACGAGCTCCTCTGTGACCATGGCCTCCACCTGCTCCACGCTGCAGGACCTTAGCACCAGCTGCACAGGTCGGGCACTGGCTACTCTGCATTTTTTTGCCATGTTCTTGGAAAAAGTCGCCAAAGGAGACTTAAAATGCATAACTAAATGACAGCAGTGGTCAGAATTATCACACTGAAATATGCCTCAGCAAAAACACTTCCCGAGGTGGGTGAATGCCAAGTCAATCTGACAGGCCAGCGTGTGTCGCTCTGTGTGTTAGGAAAAGGGTGAGAAAGAGGCAACACTTAAAGAACCAAGTCCCTGTGCTCCTCAGAGTTCCATTTTGATGTTACATGTCACAGATGTACTTTGGTGCAAGGCCATTTAAAAGCCTAAAAGTTGTAAAATATGTTTCCTTAATATTTATGATTCTTTGGTTGCAGACCCCAGCTCAGAGGAGCCCCCGCCCGCTCCTTCACCCGACACACCTGTGGAAGGGGACACGCCTGTGGGAGTGGATACGCCTCAGGAGGAAACTACGCCTCTGGAGGAAACCACGATGGAAGTCAACTGTAACGGACTCATTCCCGCCGCTGCAGACACGGAGAAGACACCAGATCAAACAAAGCACGTACGGAACGATAATGAGAAGGAGGCCGACAACAACAACACAATAGTGAGTGAGACCACGCAGGTCTGTAATGGGACCGAGGAGCAGGAGGAGCAGCAGGAACCATCAGAGGACAATACAGAGGCACCTCAGACAGAGCAGAAGAAGGAGGAGCAGATGGACACGCAAGGAGAGAGCAAGACGAAAGAGGAGGAGCCAGTAGCAGATTCTGGTATGTGCTGTTTGTGAGATGGGAGACCCTTTATTCATCCAAAGATGCTAACACACAATGCATACGTTTATTTTGAGATCCTAAAAGCCAATTATCAAACAACATTTGTGTCTAGATTTGGGCTTTAAAAATAGTCACAACATATTGATTTACATGTGATGGAGCTGAACTTGAATGAATAACCAGCTTTCCCTCCCACCGCCGCTTGTGCTTCACAGCAAGAAGGCCCTGGGTTCAATTCTGCCTTTCTGTGTGGAGTTTGAATGTCGTCCTGTTGCCTTGGAAGTTTTCCTCTGACAGACCTTTGTTTTTGATTGTGTCACAAAATTCCATATATGGCGATGATGATATGAGCTTTGGCTCAATAGTTAATTTCTGGTAAACTTCATGTCTGTTAAATGTAAATCAATATCATATCCTATGATTTAAAGCTCAGAACAGCCCAAATCCAGTCAAAACAGTTACAAATCTGTGTTGTCAGCCCCTGAATAAGTCTGGGAAACTCTTACTGCATCAGCCACAGTTAAAATCCTCTTGAAAGATGACCTGTTTACACTACGTTCTAAAACTATTCAAACATGTAAAGAGTTGTCGCTTTGTCCATTTCCAGACGCCTCCAGTAATTTATTAGTGAACCCCTTGGAGCCAGTGAACGCGGACAAGCTGCAGGTGAAGATCGCGGACCTGGGGAACGCCTGCTGGGTGGTACGTCGCGCTCGCAGCTCTTTCTATGTGTATGGGACAGATTTACCCAGATTTCCTCACTTCACTCTCTCGTTGCAGAATAAGCACTTCACGGACGACATCCAGACCCGACAGTACCGCTCCCTGGAGGTGTTGATAGGAGCCGGCTACAGCACACCGGCGGATATCTGGAGCACGGCCTGCATGGTGAGTTTTATCTGTCACCTCCAGTCTCTCTCCCTAAAACACTCAAATCAGGTCAGAAATCTGATGTAAGAGTGGACTCAGAAATACATTTTAAAAGCCACATCAAATCTGTAAAGTTGATTTTTTTTTTTTTTTTTGCCTGAAAAATACTGTCTCTAAAGAAGACTCTTGAGCACAGGGACTGGTCTCCTGCTGCTGCCTAGAATCAGGACTAAACATGGAGAGACACCAATTTGAATTTATACAGCTAAAATCTGGAACAGTCTTGGCCAAAATGTGAGACAGGCTTCTATTCTGACAATGTTCAAATCCATTTTAAAACTGTTCTCTTTAGCTGTGCACAAAACTCTTTTTAATGCACTTTGATTCTTTTTGATTTTAAGGCCTTATCCTGATCCTTAGTTAAGCACAAAACGTTTGTACATATGTTTCAGGCCTTTGAACTGGCGACAGGAGATTACCTTTTTGAGCCACATTCTGGTGAAGATTACTCCAGAGATGAAGGTAAGTCCTAGTTTTTCATTATGAGTTTGCCCTTTATTTGAATACAAGAACCCAGAGGACCAAGCCTTCTAACGCCTACGGTTTTAGATTTTTATTGTTGTTTTGAATGAACGTGTAATAATAATACATTGCACTTTTATAGTTTTTAGCACACTCAATGTTTAAAATGTGTGAATTTCATCTCGTAAAGTCATTTCAAGCCTCTCCGTCTGTCCGTGCTCCTCAGACCACATCGCTTTGATCATCGAGTTGTTGGGCAAAGTTCCCCGGAAGCTCATCACGACGGGGAAATATACAAAGGAGTTCTTCACAAAAAAAGGTGAATATTCGGAAGCAGCTGTTGGAGCCTCATTATCACCTCAAACCCGGAGCTCTAAACGTCCCATTTTAGCCTCGGCGCCTGAACGCACCATCTGCTCCCACACCGAGACGCAACCTACAAACCCAGAGCTGGAGGAGGTTTGAGGAGCAGAGGAGCAGGTGTGCTCTGTGCTGAGACTGAGAGCAGATTTAGAACAATATTCAATTCTATTCTTCTTGTATAGACCTAGATCACAACAGCAGTTATCTCAGATCAGAGAATCAAGCAGTTCAATCAAAGGAAATGCAATGATTAATAAAACACCTAGACCCATTTGTCCATAAGAAGCGTAAGTAAATTTCAAAGTTGCACCAATACTGATGGAGAGTATTGGTGGAAATCCAGAAAAACATTTCCCTTAAGCAATAAGCGGTTCTTTTGGCATTCACGAAAACCATCTATTTTCTGGCTGATAAGAACCCAGAACGTCATGGGTTGCAACCATAGACCGTATGTAGATGGACAGTACGAACCCTCTAGCTATCGTTTTTCTCTGTGGTAACCCGGCCCATCACAATATGACCATATCCAAATATGGCCCACATTTGTATATGGTCATATTGTGATGGGCCGGGTTACCAATTTACCTAAAAGATCGCGGCAATTTTTCAAGCTACGTCAGTTATGAAATGATTTGATAAACAAACATATTTAAAGAAGATGAGGAGAAAGAAACATGGAGCTCAAATGTCCTGTGTTTTTTGTGTGTTTGTTAAGTTTGTTGCTAATCTTTGCTCTGGTTGCTCCGGTTCATTGACTTACATTGATAAGTAAACTGTGGCTCAGGAGAGGTGCGAGTGACTGCTCTCTATTCCTATTATGCACAATGCAACACCAAAATTTCCCCACCGTCGGACAAACAAAGGTTTTTCCTGATCTTCCCTTCCGTCCCTCTGTGCAGGCGACCTCCGGCACATCACGAAGCTGAAGCCCTGGGGTCTGATCGACGTCCTGGTGGAGAAGTACGAGTGGTCCAAAGACGAGGCCCAGTCCTTCAGCAGCTTCCTCCTGCCCATGTTGGACCTGGTCCCCGAGCGGAGAGCCACGGCGGCCCAGTGCCTGTGCCACGCCTGGGTCAGCTCCTAACACCACCTCCACCCGCTCAAACACAGACGATTCAACTCACCCCTACTCCCCAACTTCCCCGCGCCTGCGCATTGGCCCTCAGAGTTGGAACAAGCCGCACAACCAGTCCCAGCCCTTTCACCGCAGCGATCACTTTTCAGGCTTAACATTACTCGAGTGGACAAAAACCCTGTATTCAACCCATTATACTGCCTCCAGAAATATAGTTTTTTGTAGTGTGCATTTAGTACTGGATCAGATCGACCAGGGAAGTCCAGCTCATGGGCTCTGAGATGTCTTGTCTTGGGTACATTTTGACCGACTTAACACAAGCTATGCCAATGGAACAAGCAGTTTAGTCTTATTTCAGATGTGCAGATGAAGTTATAACTCCTTGCAAGGGAGAACGTTCATTTCTCCTTTTAAAACAAGACATTTTATGCCTCTCCCACTGGTATGTCTTGTTTTAAGATGATCAAAATGTGCTAAGATCAATTATAAATTTGGCCTTGTTCAAGAAATGTTTTTACTTTCTGTCACTTTTTGCAGCGCAGACAATGGTAAAATCTTCTTGTACCCATAAAAAAAATTGTAGTTAGTTGTAATTTACAACCGTAAGCATCCTTTGGAAGAGCTTTTGGAGTGACAAGTAGCTCCCGTGCTGTAGGTTGGGGACCCCTGATACAGAGCAGAGTCATAAAAGTAGCAAAGGTTTGTCAAAGAGCTCAAACGTTCAGGATAAATGGGCGTCCTTTCATTGCCTTCCAAGTATACAGCCATAGAGAATCTCGAAAAGGAACGAAAATGTACAGTTGCACTTAAGACATTCAGACAAAACAAATTTCCGCTTCTGCCCGTATCCTTTCTCCAGTCTTTTTCTACCACAGGGTTCAGACCTAGCGCTGCAGTAGTGTTAGCAGCGGCATGAGGTGCTAGCTTAGCGGTTCTCACACGTGTGCATTTTGAAAAGGGTTTGTAAATTTGTAAACAATGTGGAAAGAAGTGCCATAGTTTTCATACGACTGCTGCATTGAGCCGTGTCTTTACAATTTACAACCGTCGGCCTCATCAGGTACAGCTAGGTTTTTTTTATCAGGTACTGCTCCTGCTCCAACACTGAATATGAATGTCTAAACAAGGGTTTTTGCTGCTGTTGTTTTGCACTTAAAATCATTCTCATATAAACATCTGTTCCGTCTAAAAGTGGAAGGTTGGGTGCACCTTAATCCGGGGTGTCAAATTGGTTCCAGAAGGGGCTGGTGTGGCTGCAGGTTTTCATTCCAACCAAGCAGGAGCACATCAGAGTCCACCCATTTCCTCAAGTCTCCAGGTTCAGACTGTACTCTCTTGAGGGCCGAGTTGAATACCCCTCACTGAGTACGTCAACAAAACGCTCCTGAAATGTAATCCAATTCAAGACGCATGTAAACTGGTCTGTTCGGCACAACTGGCTCACACCATTTCTACCGAGACAAGGCCAGCAGATTCATTTAAGAGCGCAGGGAAAAGCCATGGTCATATTGGAAATGTATGTGATTTGGACACAAAGGCTCCTCACTCATTTTGACCACTGTGATGAGGCACATGTGTTTCATTGTCTAGTTTTAATTTTGTTGCGTGAAGCAAAAGTAGGAAGCGGGGTGCATTAAAGTGCACCGCGGAAACTAAACGACTTGTGCTGCTGCAGTTGAGCCCGTGCAAGAATCAAACGCTCAAAGTGACAAGATGTTTGGTTCCATTTGCAAAAGAAATAGGTTATACAGTATATATGATCAGTTTTCATGTACAATTACTGTTCCAAAGTTTGAGCGCTGAGGCAAAGTTACGAGGGGTATTTGAAAGCATCACAAGGCCCAGTCTGATCTGCGGACTCTCTGTTCTTATGCTTTGTGAACATACTCGGCTGCAATGGAAAAAACATGAAGCATTTTGATTGTTCTGCATTGAGAAGTGGTTAAGGAGAGCTCCTCACAATCTTTCCCATTTTAAAGCACAACAAATACAGATGGAAACTTAATTTTTCAAGTGTTTTCCCCTGTTCTCTAGTTGTACCTGATGAAAAGGCCATTTTCTCAAAAACTTAAGCTGTGATCTTCATCTCTCTTCCCTCTTAACGTTCGTAAAAAACTCGACTTAAGGTTTCAAGTTTATCTGTCCGAACTCTGATTTATATTCCGTCTTTTTGATTTCTTGTCAAACCAAAGACTCGGCTTCTCTTTCGCAGGTGCAGGTGAACGCAGCGGTTGAATTCTTATTTTAGCTATTTTTTATTGGGTTGTTTTGGAGGCAGAAGGAGAAAAATACTGACTGTACAAAAAATACCTTGTTTTTCTTCAATAATTCCATTTCTGTTCTTGTGTCTTTCCATTGATCTTTCTGTATAGGCAATAATAATAATAAACATTTTTCAAACGTTACTCTTCTTTTGGCTTTTGTATTTGTAAAAACATAAGAGCGGAAATAATACTTCACAGCACTATTTAATTCTTTCACAAACGCTGTATATTGTATAATTTATTACAAAGTCAACAATTATGGTACGTTTTTTTTTAATGCATTTTATTTCAACCAATTGTTATATAACACTTACAAAAGGAAGTTGCTGTAAAAAGATGCAATAAGTGACTCCACGTGGAACTTCTCCCGATTCTCCTGAAATATTTATTCATTATCTGAAAACAAAAAAAGAATAGATTTGTTATGGCTGTAAACACAAATCTCAAAGTATCTAACTACGATGAAATATATTTGATAAACTATGAATCCTCACACGGTCACACATGCATGGTTACTTACGTGGCAATAAAAATGATTCTGATTCTGATAGTACCCCAAAATTGTTGAGTGCTTTGTGTGACCTAAGTCTGTGAAATGCTCTATATAAATAAAGATTACTGGCAGAAGCGCACACATCATCCAACAGATTAAAAAGTGACAAACTAAGTTAAGTCTTTCAAAATATGAACTAATAACTGACGATATAAAATCATGAAAAGGCGCAGGAGGAGCTGTACTGTACATGGACCACTAGAGTGCACAGCGCAGCTTCAACCACAAGGGGGAGACACCGATCAATGTTTTGCCTCTGAGGAAGCTAAATTCTCTCCTTTCACGGATTTAAAGCTGGGGTACCTGATTATAAAACAATTATACTATGCAATCAAATCCATGTCACTAGTTCCTGGCTCTGAAACGGTTTGATTCTATGGTTTTCACATCTTTAGATCAGCTTTTCAGACAGAAAAACAGTGGCGGCAAAAGTACTTGTCGTAGATACACATTATTAGTAAATCATCCATCCATCCATTTTCTACCCTTTAATCCATTTCTGGGTCGGGGGGGGGTGGCAGTCAGAGATGCCACCCAAGTCTCATAGCACCAGCCCCTCACTGATCCTCTGCGGGTGGTGAGTTCACAGGAGGACGGCTGCTCTGTCAATGTGAGCATAGCCTTGATCTTTCAGTGGGGGCTTTGGGCAAAGTGGGGTTAAGTGTCTTGCCCAAGGACACAACAACAGCAGTCATCAGTGGGAGTCGGTGGAGAAGGTATCAAGGTGGGAATTGAACCCCCGACCTTCAGGCCTAAAGGCCAATGCTCTACCAACTGAGCTACTGTCGCCCTATTTATTATGATTATGATTAGTAAATCAACTGGTAAAATCACCCCCATAAGTAGAATTATGAAAGTGCATTGTATGTTTTTAAGTCATAAGTTAAATGCATTTTTGATTAATAATATACAAACAATATATTTGAGTCTTTGTAAGAGCTGCCTTTGAAACACAAAACATTAAACTCCTGGAGCAATAATGAATGGGTATTATAGTGGGCTGCCAAGTGCGCGACATGTCTACATTCAGTGTGTGCAAAATAGATATTATTAATCTCCAAATACTTAAAAAAAAAAAAAAAAAGAGACCCGCAAACAGAACACAATATTTTTCCGATAAAGTTGTATGGAACTACAAAGTGGGCGGAGCTTAGGGGTCACAAAGTGAAATCCAACTTTTCATGAATATGGATTTTGACATTTGGATGCTCCGAGCCATTCCCGGACAGTGGTCATCTCGCTACCTATGAACCAATGGTTCTGATGTGTGTTTTTTTGCATCACCTGTGTTCAAACTATTTGATTCTCTGATCTGTTGTTGGTGAATCAACAACTTAGTAAAGTCCCCAGAGACGACTGCATTTAGGTCTAAACAAATGTAAATTGAATTGTATTGAATTTACTTTGTTATATGGGCAGCACGGTGGGGCTTGTGCCTCACAGCATAAAGGTCCTGGGTTCAATTCCACCTCCAGGCCTTTCTGTGTGGAGTTTGCATGTTCTCCCCATGTTTGCTCCGGTTACCCCTACCACTAATAATACGTACAATAGTTCTGGCTCTGTGTGGAGTGAGAGACGAATGCCCACAACAATTGTAAAGCACTCTGTGAGTCTGGTCTGTGATAGATATGAATAAAAATTACTTATTTAAAAAGACTAGTGACAACTGGGACTATCGCTGAGTGACTTAGTGAAACAGCCCCATATCAGCCCCCCTCTCCCCACCCTGCCCTCTCACCTTTCCCCTCTACCTGGAAGTCCTCGGGCAGCAGCTTGTCCTGCCGGTTGCCCAGGCTGAAGGCGAGAAAGGACAGGATGAGGGAGTCCATGATGGAGATGATGGCCAGGATGTAGGCCCAGCGCACCGTGCAGTTTCCCAACGTGTACTTGTCGGTCCGCTGGCCACACATGCGCTTCACCGGCTCCGAGTCCCAGCCGTCCGGGTAGATCATGCAGCCGATCACCATACATGTGCCTGCTCAGAGAGAGGCCAGAAAACGAATGAGTGTGATGTCATAGTGGCACTATTTATTTATTCATTTAGAACCTGCACATAATTTTACATATATCACTATAACGGAAAAGAAACTTGTACCTGGTTCCAAAAGGAGTTGGATGTCATAACAATATACATGCAGTAGAATTCCCAAACATACAACTGTACAGTACAAACAGTCATACAATGCTACTACAGATGGTATGAGACTGACAACACAAAACACACACACACACACACACACACACACACACTGACAACATACAGGCCCAAACACTCTCTGACCCTATGCCTCACTCCCACTACTTGCTCCGTGCTTATGACAATGACGTCATACTATTACCGGACTGATACAGGAGCTTATAGACAGAAGGGGCGGAGCTACATGTTTGTGCACAATATTGTAACATGGTAAAAAATAAATTTAAAAAAGACAATATTTTGTAATTGATAATAATTTAATAATAATAATCTGTAAAGTCCTCTGAGATCACTGCTGTTGTGATTTAGGGCTATACAAAAATACATTTGATTGAACTTAAATGAATTGGGTTGAGACTTCAGAGGTCCGGTGACACTGACACCAGAGATCCAGCAAACTCTCCCTTTCTCCATGAATAATTGATGATTTATTTATAGAGAAAATGTGAGCAGTTGGTCTTTAACAGAGACACAAATCAAATTTCTAGGCGTCATCAGGAAAGTGTGTGAGGGACAGAAATGTGTCATATAGTGGGGACTCCACGTGTGTTAAAGGATAGATCCAGGGCCAAGCAGATACTAAAAAACCTGGTAGTATGTTAAACAGGGCCAGTGGAAACGCTCCCAATCAGGATAGAGTAGGCCAAGAGGGCTTGTGTAAACAGGGCTTAAATTCTCATTTTTTACACAAACATTTTTCCATAGACGTAAGGCTGTCCTCACACAGCTATCTTTTTTTTCTTTTTTATATTAAATCTGTTGGTTTCAATAAATACAAACCTTTGGGAATCAAACTCGTCTCGCTCAACCCCGATCTGATCATTGCGTGCTGATTGGTCAGAAGTTCAGAACAGATGTGGCAAAATGTCAGTCTTATGCTAACTTTTGGCGCGGCTAACTTTGAGGATTCATTGGGTTAAAGTTCAGATATAACTTAGTGATTAAGTTTAGAAGATGTTTACATTTTAGGTTAGGCAAACGGAAATTGTTACAATAGTTAAAGGTGTGTCGTGTGTGTGTGTGTACGTGTGTGTGTGTGTGTGTGATTGTGTGTCTCACTGGAGGCCAGCTGCATCCAGGCACAGATCTTGTAGACGCTCCCCGCGTTGCAGAAGAAGAAGAGGCTGAAGCAGACGATGCTGCCCACCACCAGCAGCATGGAGATGCCCACAAAGAACATGGCGGTCTTGAAGGCTCCAGACGGGATGGAGCCGAAGTCCAGCGCGCTGCCTTTGCACGTGAGCTCGGAGGTGAGGGCGTTCCCGATGCAGTAGTGGAACAGGCCGAAGTATCCGGCCTGAGGTGTGTTCACACTGTCCCCGATCCAGTACGGCTGAATGAACACCACCACCATCATGACGGCGAACGTGATGGTGAACACGGTCCACAGCACGCCCACCGCACGCGCGTTACGCACATAGTTGGTGTGGTAGATCTTTGCCGCCTCCTCAGCCGGCAGCATCTTCAGCTTTCTGTAAAATGGTTTTCTGATTCAAAAGAGAAGGATTAGAAGAAGAAACTCCTTTCAGTATTATCCAGATTATCAGTACTGGTCTCTTTCTGGTTTGTTTCTGGTCTCTTTCTGGTCTCTCTCTAGTCTCTTTCTGGTCTCTTTGGTCTCTGTGGATCTCTGTCACACCGAAGGGTCCCCTCTCTCTGCTCTGTCCCTGTGGGAGACACTCTCTCTGAGCTCAAACTCTAAATGATTTATTGTCACCAGATCCTGCAGTGAAACTCTGGACCACAGCTGCTCTACACTTTCACTTGGACCGTGACACATTATGTTCAAAAACACTGTTGCCAAAAAACATGTAACACAAAATTAAGACAAAAAAAAAACAAGATATAAAACGTAGACGAGGTCTAGCACACAATATGGTGTTTCCAGGTGCTTATTTCATGAAACGTTGTGTTGGAAATGAGTACAAAGCTCAATTTACAGCTCAGTCTTTGGCCAGCCTTACAAATGGTCATGGCAAGGCAAGTTTTTTGCATAGCCCAAGTAACTCAATGTATTTAACTAAACAAGCCGAAGTCCAGCGGCTTGTTTTGTTAAATAAGTACAGTACATTCATACAAGGCATTGTAATAATAAATAATCACACTACATTAAAAAAAGTGAAGACGCAATCCTTCAGTTGTATGCACAGCTAAACAGAACAGTTTTAACCCCTGAATTGAATGAACATTGTCAGAGTAGAAGCCTGTCTCACATTTTCAGTAGGACTGTTCCAGATTTTCACTGCATAATTCTGACACGCTGCTTCCCCAAGTTTTGATCTGACTCTGGGCCCCAGCAGGAGGTCAGTCCCTGTGCTCCTCAGAATCCGAGTTGGTTCATATGGCACCAACATGTCACAGATGTAATTTGGTGAAGGCCATGGAGACACAAGCAGACACAGACCCAGAACACTCACCCAGGATTCCTCTTTTATGAAGGAAGCATCTGCAGAGTGGGAAGTCAGAGCATTTCTGATCGGACTGCAGCCTCCACGAGTCAGCACAAGATAAAGTGGAAGAGAATGGAATGTTTGTATAAAGAATCTCCAGAAACTGAGCCTTTTGAACCCAGAGGACCGAGCCTTCTGAACCCTGAGGGCCGAGCCTTCTGAACCCTGAGGGCCGAGCCTTCTGAACCCTGAGGGCCGAGCCTTCTGAACCCTGAGGGCCGAGCCTTCTGAACCCTGAGGGCCGAGCCTTCTGAACCCTGAGGGCCGAGCCTTCTGAACCCTGAGGGCCGAGCCTTCTGAACCCTGAGGACCGAGCCTTCTGAACCCTGTGAACTGAGCCTTCTGAACCCAGAGGACCGAGCCTTCTGAACTGCAGCTACACCCAACTTCTGGTACTCTCTCCCAAAACACATCAGGAATTCGGACTTCCAAGAACTTCACTGCTTAAATTCCACCTGATACTTAACTGCTTATTTTAGCGTTTTGTTTTTGCTTCCTATTAACGTGTTCTTTTGTTAAGAGCTATATGAGCATGATCTTATTGATCTTATCTTATGAGTTATTATCATGTTATTTATCATTGTTAAGAGATGTATAGCCTTAGCAGAATTCTACAGATGCCACATTTTCTACACAGACAAACAAAGTCGTTTTCTTCTTTTGGACATAAAATTCACTGTCATTTGCACAATCTAAGCCACCATGCCTCCTCACGGGCGGAGACTTTATCATTCCTTTTCTGCTCTATAATAACGCAGCCTCCATGGCTGCTGTCCCCTCTGACCACTGTGTGTTGTAGAGACTGGGAACACTCACTTTTCACTGTAGAAAATCCAGTCCTAATCACATTACAGCGAGGTCCACAGGGAGAGGTTCGTCTGAGTGCATCTGATCACAGACTGAAGCGGCAGCAGAGTAAATGGATTAAAGGCAATAGTTCACACCGCTTCATAAAGATAAGTGCAGCTCCCACCGCTCACATGCATGAAAACCACAGACGACAACACACGCATGTAGATGAGAGACGACAACACAAGCATGTACAGTGCCTTGCGAAAGTATTCGGCCCCCTTGAACCTTTCAACATTTCGCCACATTTCAGGCTTCAAACATAAAGATATCACATTTAATTTTTTTGTCATGAATCAACAACAAGTGGAACACAATCGTGAAGTGGAATGAAATTTATTGGATAATTTAAAATTTTTTAACAAATAAAAAACTGAAAAGTGGGGCGTGCAATATTATTCGGCCCCTTTACTTTCAGTGCAGCAAACTCACTCCAGAAGTTCAGTGAGGATCTTTGAATGATCCAATGTTGTCCTAAATGACTGATGATGATAAATAGAATGCACCTGTGTGTAATCAAGTCTCCGTATAAATGCACCTGCTCTTTGATAGTCTCAGGGTTCTGTTTAAAGCGCAGAGAGAACCATGAAGACAAAGGAACACACCAGGCAGGTCCAAGATACTGTTGTGGAGAAGTTTAAAGCCGGATTTGGATACAAAAAGATTTCCCAAGCTTTAAACATCTCAAGGAGCACTGTGCAAGCAATTAGATTGAAATGGAAGGAGTATCAGACCACTGCAAATCTACCAAGACCCGGCCGTCCCTCCAAACTTTCATCTCAAACAAGGAGAAGACTGATCAGAGATGCAGCCAAGAGGCCCATGATCACTCTGGATGAACTGCAGATAACTACAGCTGAGGTGGGGATGGTGTGTTCAGGGTGATGAGCTGTGTTGCTTTTACGCCAAACATATCGTTTTGCATTGTGGCCAAAAAGTTTGATTTTGGTTTCATCTGACCAGAGCACCTTCTTCCACATGTTTGGTGTGTCTCCCAGGTGGCTTGTGGCAAACTTTAAGAGACTTTTTATGGATATCTTTGAGAAATGGCTACTCTTCCATAAAGGCCAGATTTGTGCAGTGCACGACTGATTGCTGTCCTATGGACAGACTCTCCCACCTCAGCTGTAGTAATCTGCAGTTCATCCAGAGTGATCATGGGCCTCTTGGCTGCATCTCTGATCAGTCTTCTCCTTGTTTGAGATGAAAGTTTGGAGGGACGGCCGGGTCTTGGTAGATTTGCAGTGGTCTGATACTCCTTCCATTTCAATATAATTGCTTGCACAGTGCTCCTTGAGATGTTTAAAGCTTGGGAAATCTTTTTATATCCAAATCCGGCTTTAAACTTCTCCACAACAGTATCTCGGACCTGCCTGGTGTGTTCCTTTGTCTTCATGGTTCTCTCTGCGCTTTAAACAGAACCCTGAGACTATCAAAGAGCAGGTGCATTTATACGGAGACTTGATTACACACAGGTGCATTCTATTTATCATCATCAGTCATTTAGGACAATATTGGATCATCATCTTGGTTCTGGAGTGAGTTTGCTGCACTGAATGTAAAGGGGCCGAATAATATTGCATGTCCCACTTTTCAGTTTTTTATTTGTTAAAAATGTTTAAATTATCCAATAAATGTCGTTCCACTTCACGATTGTGTCCCACTTGTTGTTGATTCATGACAAAAAATTAAATTTTTATATCTTTATGTTTGAAGCCTGAAATGTGGCGAAATGTTGAAAGGTTCAAGGGGGCCGAATACTTTCGCAAGGTATTGTAGGTTGGTTTTTCTCTAATATCCCAAAATGCAAATTTCCCCTTTGCATTTGACCCATTCTCCATTGCTACTAGGGCCTCTATCCGGAGCACTGATCGTCGTAGTAAAGCGCACGGAGACCCTTCTCCAGATGTTGATGCTCAGCTTGGTCAGGACCGGACATGGATAATTTGACCTATCCTAGGACCTGCGTGGATATCACATTTTGGGATGTACAAGCATAATGTTTAATTCTGATTTCCTGGGGGCTGGTGTCCACATACCTGAAAACCGACACTGCCTTCTAGTGGTGTTGCAGGAATTATAGCACAATCATATACAAAACAAAATGGCTGACAGCACACAGGAAAGTTCAAGTGTGAGTTCCAGACCAAAAATTTACAAGGTAAAAAATACAATTTGATTTTATAGCTTATTCTCTTTCAGATAGTTACATGTAATTTTGTCACGACATGCACATTTTGCAAAAATTACAATGAAAAAACTATCTACTGGACCGCTAAACTTGATGTAAACATACTGTATGTGACAGAAGGACTTTTTGTTCTAATTGCATGTGGAATGCACATGTTCTCAATTAGTTTGTGTTGTTTTTTTTCATTATAAGTTATTCTTTGTCAACAACAACTAACAAGACCAGTTGAAGCAAGCCAGGGTGCATCCAGCATACTAAATAATTATAAAAAGGGCCCATTTTCTTCCGCTTTATCCATTGCCGGGTCTCAGGGGCAGCAGTCTATGCAGAGACGCCCAGACTTCCTTATCCACACCCACCTTCTCCAGCACATCTGGGGGGATTCTGGGGCATTCCCAGACCAGCTTAGACAGAGGCGCCGCAAACACGCTGCAAAGCACTTAGCAAAAACGACCAGGCTCCCGCACAGCATTTAGGTCATGGATCTATTATAATAACTAGATAGGGTATTGATAGCTTGCAGCTGAAGAACTCATGTGCTCGGGGGAGACGAACGTAGGAGAATTCTACTTCTACGTTCGTCCAAACAAAACCAAGCCAAGCTCTAGTTTCAGTTTCCATTTTTGCTGCTGCTGTTAAATGCAGAATAATGTCGGTGCATTCTTTTGAGTTTTTGCTGTGGCCCGAGGAGGATGCTGTTGAGAAAGTGAATATGGCGCAAGAACTACATATTTTTTTAATCTTAATATGAACGCTGTGAAATTTGCATAAGGAGCCTGGTCGTTTCTGTTCATTGCTTTGCAACGTCTGCGCAGCGCCTCCATCTAAACGTGTTAAAAGGGTTCTCAACGCTTCCATTTTCTCCTGAAACATCCATTTCCATGAAACATCTATTTCCATGTAAAAGGGAGGCCAAACCGATACCCAACTCTACCATTTTACTGTCGTATCATCTCCGTATAAACAGGGCCTAAGAATCCTGGGTCTTCCCCTGGTCTCGCAATTTGATGCACAGCCTGTTCCTATTGCTTAAAGGGAAATACTAATTTGTCTAAGTATGTTTATCGCGTCTTCCTGGGATGTGACTGTGTCTTCCTGGGATGTGACTGTGCCAAAAAGGTCAAATTGTCTTTTTGTTTTCTTTTTTAACATGTTCATTGTTCAAAATTGTTCACTGCTTCTTGTTGTCAAGCACATGCTTCATTTATGCTTAATTTATGTTTGTGTGTATAAAGGGAAGGACACGTCATATTATTGCACAGTAAGTGGTGAACATTCTGCATTCTTTCTAAATAGACAAACATTTAAAGTTACAGACATCAACTTATCAAATAAATAACACAAAGTCAGTTGACAGTTTCACATTATTCTTTCACTCACACATGGTGGTAAACTCTACAGCAGCTGCCGTGTGACATCAATCACTCACCAGATCATACTCATGTTTTGTACTTAATGGTAAAACCGGTTTGAACATTAATAAAACAGAAACAATCTCTGTCTTACTTCACACATGCTGAAAATGTGTTGGAAACTTCCATCCATCCATTTTCTTCCCCCTAAATCCATTTCTGGGTCGGGGGGCGGCAGTCAGAGCTGCACCCAGTCCACAGAGCACCAGCCCCTCACTGATCCTCCTGCAGGTGGTGAGTCCACAGGAGCTGAGATCTTTCAGCGGGGGCTTCAGGCAAAGTGGGGTCCTGCCCAAAGACACAACGACAGCAGACATCATTGGGAGTCGGTGAAGTAGGTCTTATGGTGGGCTAGAACCCACCATGAGAGCGTTGGAAACTTCTTCAGACAAGACAAAATCCATTTCAAGAAGTTGCTTTAATAAAAGTGATATGTGTGTGTGTGTGGTGTGCATGTGTGTGCATGCATGCAGCCAACTTCAGCTCCGTCTAATATGAACCAATATAGACATGTCATACCTCACTTTAAAACCCAGTCAGTCCTCGTTGTCGGCCCCCGGACAATTTTGGTGAACTAAAGTGGCCCTCTCAGTAATAAGTTAGGACACATCTATACAATCTATAAGGATTATCTTTGTAATGTCATATTTATGCTAGCCTAGTCTTAGCCATCTGTACACTCCGCTCAATCATCATTTCCCTGCATGTAACGTCTGGGTCGGGTCCCTGGGTTAGCGATTACAATCGGTTGAATTCCATCCGACCAATCAGCGAGCGCGGGAGGCGGGTGTTGTAGTTAGATGTGGGTGATGTCAAGAGTTTGCATCGAACGGGCAGGTTGTAGTTTGGCAATGGCGAAGAATGAGATAGTAAGGTAATGCGGTCTGGTTCTATTGAGAAATTGAAGCCGGAGCAAGAGGAATTGTGAGATTTCATATCACTTTGAAGCAACTATTGTTAAAGTTCAAACTCATCCTTATTACATTTGCACGAGCCAGTACTTTTCCCTTGTTTTGACTTCTGAAGGCCAAGCTACATGGCACCGTGGAAGCTGCTGATTGGAGGACTGCACCTCCATGCTGTATAATACACTTGCATTCTGTCGTGTTTGTGTTCGTGCTGTCTCTACCATTGACAATAAAACATGTCTTCTGTCTGAATGAAAGATACGATCCCGGTTCCGGGTCAAACATGGCAACACCGTAGACACGCACGTCCCCGTTAAAAAGTTAAAAATTCACCCCGTGTGGCCCAAGCCTGAGGATAACACTGAGATTTAAAAGAAGATAACGAAAAGGGCTTGCGAAATGCCTGGAAGAAAAGTCAGAAAGAGCACTGGTATCGTCAAACAACGCCGTAATGAAGACGTCGGGCTAGCGGAGGAGCTAGCTGGCGCGGAGGAGCTAACTGGTTCAGAGGAGGAATTAGCGGAGGAGCTAACATCAGATACGGTGCGGGTTGGACAGAAAATTTCAGACTTGGATACAGTCCTGCGTGAGATAAGAGAATTCAGACGGGAAACGGTGGAGAGCCTGAACGCCATCAGGGAAGATATTAGGAAAGCAAACTGTAGGATTGATGAGACTGAGAAACGGATTGGGGATACGGAGGAGCGTATCCAGTATATGGAGGAGGCGACATGTGAGCTCATTCAATTTTGCAAGAAGCTGAAAGAGAAACAAGTAGACCAGGAAGGAAGAGCCAGAAGAGACAACGTTCGATTACATGGGATTAAAGAGGGAGCAGAAAAGGATGCCGAGTCTGTGAGTGCATTTGTGGAAACTACTCAAAGAAAAGTTAGAGCTGCCAGTAGCATACGAACTCGGAGTGGAACGCGCACACAGATCACTAGGCCCTCGCCCAGCGGATGGTGTACCGCCGAGATCCATAATAGCAAAGCTTTCAAGCTACAAATGTAAAGAAGACATAATCAAGAAGGCATGGGAGAAAAAGGGGTTTGTCTTTGAAGGATGCATTGTGTATATTGACCATGATTATGCTCCTGAAGTGATGAAGATGAGGAAGGAATATGCAGAGGCAAAGAAAGTACTGAGGGAGAAAAAAATCAGATTCCAGACGCCGTTTCCATCGAAGTTCCGTGTCTTTTATGAGGGAGAGACACGCCTATACAACTCAGCAGCAGAGGCTACAAGAGATATGGCGGACAGAGGACTTCAGGTTCGAGTTGTGAAAGCGGCAATAGATCCAATGGAAAATATCCAGCGTCGGATGTGGCATACCGCCCAGAGGGCAGGGCGACAGGACCAGGGGCAAACACTAGAGATGGGATTCAAGGAGAAGCTGCAGGCTTTTAGAAGATCCTCAGAGACTGTACAAGAGTGAGACAATCAAACTGGAAGGACAGCATATTGCAGAAGAATAAAGTGCACTTTAATGTTCTAGTGATGGGGAAATATTGTCAAGATGATACACGGGGAAATAGTTTAAAAACTTGACTCATGGAAAGGGCTGAAATAGGTCGAGAGGGCCCCCTGAAGGTCAGGGGTTTTCCCTCAGAGCCGGGAAAGAGCTCAAAGGTTGAAGAAGGTACAACCTCAGGTTTGGAATTCGTTTAAATTTTCTGTTTGTTCTCGTTCTTTTTTGTAGCACATGGGGCGGGAAAACAGGTTTGGAACAGTGTTTTAGTAAATGACTACACATAATAACGTGAAAGTGGCCTCTTACAATGTTAATTTCCTTGGTAACCCAATTAAAAGAAGTAAAGTAATAAGTAAAATGAAGAAGGAAGGAGTCGGAATAGTTTTTTTTACAGGAGACCCATTTAACAGTAAAAGAGCATGAAAAGTTGAAGAGGAATGATTACAGTCAGGAATTCTCATCATCGTACGAGCCAGGCCGAAGGCGCGGGGTGTCAATACTGGTGTCAAGGAGGGTCACTTTTGAGATGCTGAAAATAATCAAGGACAAAGAGGGTCGGTATGTTTTGGTGACAGGCAGATTGGAGGGGGAATTAGTCACATTATTGAATGTTTATGCTCCTCCAGGATCAGACTGGGATTTTTTAGACATATTTTTGAATTGGTAACAACTGAAGGAGAGGGAACATTGATTGGAGGAGGGGATTTGAATCAAAGGCTCAATGCATATTTAGACTCATCAGGACAAACACAACAAAATACTGTTGGCAAAATAATAAGGAAACTGATCTCACAGCTAGGGATTCTAGACATATGGAGGGAGCTAAATCCATCTAAAAAGGACTGTTAGTATTAGATAGCAATATGGCCTACGTGCAGGACTCTACAAGGACTCTACAAGGACTCCATGTTATGACTATGATGTGACTGTCTCTTTGTGACACGTATGTCTTTCGATGTGTGACGTAAACCAGTGGAACTTGAGAGAAACTTAAATAAACTTCCAGAGTTTGGCGCACCACGATCCGTCTCTGTCTGCTGAATCCTAACAGATTTGGTGGAGAACGCGCGGCTCAGTGTGTGCCATTCTCTGGATTGTTTTGAGGGAGTTTTCTTTGTTTCTTTTTCTCGGCGTGGGAGAGCTGAGAGTAGCTGGGGCCTGGGAGCGGTCCAGCAGGCTGGAGAGGCGACCGGCTCCGGGACTCTTTTTCGCTCTCTCACTATATTTTTTTGTGTCCTTTTTTTTGAACTGAGCGTTTTAAATTGTTTTCCCATGTCCACATTCCGGGGATTTTTGACGTGCGATTGGTCTCTGCCAATGGAAACTAGTTCCCGGTACTAGTGAGCGCTGGTTCATGATCTGGAGACCTGGTTGGACGTGGAAAAGCTGGTATTTGGTGGACTTCTGACTGTACCTGGGCCCTGTTCAACAAAAGGTAAGAGCGGACACCTGTTTATTCAAAGTCTGCTAATTGAGTGAACTAAATTTGTCTGTTTTTGAGGTCTGTCGAACTCTCTAAATTGTGTTCAAATAAGTGAGGATCCATAAAGTGTATAGGATCCATAAGGGAAAAGGCCATAAAGTGTATAGGATCCATAAGTGAAAAGGCCATAAAGTGTATAGGATCCATAAGTGAAAAGGCCATAAAGTGTATAGGATCCATAAGTGAAAAGGCCATAAAGTGTATAGGATCCATAAGTGAAAAGGCCATAAAGTGTATAGGATCCATAAAGTGTAAAGGCCATAAAAGTGTAGGATCCATAAAGTGTTGGCCATAAAGTGAGGATCCATAAAGTGTAAAGGCCATAAAAGTGTAGGATCCATAAAGTGTTGGCCATAAAGTGAGGATCCATAAAGTGTTGGCCATAAGTGAGGATCCATAAGTGAAACCATGGTGTAAAATTAAAAGCAATAAAAAGGGAAACGTGTTAAGGAGGCCTTTTGTCACAAAATGTTTTGTAATTAACCAATTCCAAGCTTGATAAATGACAAAAGTAAAGAAGCAACAATATTTCAGTGATCACGGTTTAAATTACATACAGAAAAAGGGAGTTTTTGTTTTTGGAGTGAACAGAGTTCACCAGAGAATGCAGAGTTTTATCTAAAGTTGAGCTATGAGAGCTTTCGTGAGTTATTTACATTTTTTGCCGAGTTTTATCTACAGTTAAGCTATGAGAGGGTTGTATCCAACAGTTGTTTTTGTTTTTTAGAAAGAGATTTTGAGTTTAAATTAGTTTGCTACCTCGATATAATAGAAGCGTAAGGGAAATTAAAGAGTAAGAGTGCCTTTTGGTACTAGTGTGGAAAGTGATCACTTCTAGACTTGGATGACAAAAGTATAAACTACAAGTTATATTCGCTTAACAAAATAATTTTGAAAGTTATTCTTCTTTCTGTTTTTGCATTTTTGCTAAAACACTGCTTTCTGCCTGTGTGTGCAGCTCTATCTTGCTGCCGTTGTCAGGGAAACGGCCCCCTCCTTTGCTGCTCTGGCTCTGAATCAGAGCAAAGCTGCTTTTGGATTTCTGGCTTTTCATAGTTGTTATTCCGTTAAATTTGCGAAATTTGCAATTGAACATTGTGTTATGACACAGTTAAACATTTTTAAACACCATTAGTGAATAAGTTTTGAATATTATATGTTTTTTTTTGAAACCCAAATATTAGTGCTAAAGCTGTGCAATTCTTTTTAGACCTAACATATTTCTAGATTCCATTCTTTTAAATCTGCTGCTTATTTCTTAACTTTTTGTGAGTTGTGTTTGTTTTTTATGTTTTTATTTTAGTTACAAAAGCCGTTTTTCAAACATTTAAATTAGAATCTGTGTTAAAAGTGATTATTGATTATAGACTTCGTCTAAAAAAGAAAGAGGGAATTGGGATTATTAAGTTGAACTTTACCCAATTCACCCAATTCACATTCAAGTGGTGACTTTTGTTTTTGTTTTGACTACACACCTGACCTTCCTCCTCCTGCTGATGCACACAGCAGAGGAGACTGGCTCTAAAATGTGCTCCAATTCATATTGACTTAATTTGAAAAATGCTGCAATTATTTTAAATTAGTAGAATAGATGCTGAGCTAAATAAGTGTAAAAGGGGAAAGTCCATAAAGTGAAACCCAAGGACGCATAGATAATTAATCACACAGTGCAAAAGTACATAATACATATTTTAAAGTTTGAAGATTTTTGAGATTTGAGTCTTGTTTTTTATTAAGAGGGTTTTTTCTGGTCTTAAAAGTGTCATCATTAGTAAGATAATAAGTAATCTATATTTACATAGCGCATGTTGAAAACCCAGAGCGCTCCAAAATTGTTTAGACTTTAGGGAGAAAAACAATCTCATTCACATATCTGTTGTTTTGATTTTGACTATAAGGTTGTGTTCCAGGACCAAGGGCACACACTGTACAGGGCCACTGGACTGCTGGACACTGGACACCAAAGCCCACCCAGCCACAGGTCACAGATCAAAGAGCAAAGGGAAATGCCACCTCCTTGCCCCTCCCCACGCCACTGCAGAACTGAGTGGGTGTGAGAGAGACCGGGGCCATGAAAGAGAGGTATCTGGAGACGTGATGGGTGGAGCGTCAGGGAGAGACCTGAATGAGAGTTGAGAATGTGTCCAGTTGGTTTACATCACCACAGTGTGACCTTTGACACCTGCAGGTGGTTCGAGGAGGAGTCTGGAGACACAACCCCAAAATTCACACCCTACATACACACACACACACACACATACACTCACACATTCACATTTACATATAGATACATGAAAAAGTAGAACATGAGAAAAAAGCATTTTAAAAGTTTACTCCAATGTAAACACATATTTCTAATTGTCTATCACTTGAATCTTTATTTGAATCAGTATTTTTGAGACCAGAAATGTTCATTTGAATTCTATATTGTCATGGACATAATTGACGTCTGTCCTGACACTTTTGATTTGTTGATTTTGTACTGTGTGAAGTAATTACATTGATTAGAATTAGATCTGATAAAAACACAAATTAGAGAAGTAAACTGAATCATTGCGCTTGCTTTTGTCTGAGAGACATTAGCAACAGCATGAATAGAAATTGTCTTTAAAGTAGAATCAAAGTGACTAACCATAGAGAGTAACTATTGCATAACAAGCTGTGTACAGGAACTGAGACACTGCACCATTGACCAGAAGTGCATCGCAAATGACCTGATGTGCTTCAACTGAAAAGACTGTATCTGGAGATCTGATGTGCATCTGGAGACCAGAACCAGAACCATGGCTTGGACCCTACTGATGTCCAAGATGACAGCTCTCGAAATATGACCTGACCTGATGACGACTGAGACTCACCCTCAGGGGACCCTGAGGACCTGAGGACCTGAGGACCCTGAGAGATAAAACTGGGGAGTGATGTTTATATTATTGAAATCATACATTGATGAGTGCTAAATGAGAGAGATACTCATGATTCTTTCTTTTGTTTTTGTTTGTCCCTAGCTTCTGGACATCTGATGATCTATTGGACACAGCCATTTGCAGAACAAGAACC